TTCTTCTTCTTCTTCCTCCTCCTCCTCCTCCTCCTCCTCCTCCTCCTCCTCCTCCTCCCTCCTCCTCCTAGTTTACCTAGGAGTTTTTCTTTGTATTTTTGTCTCATGTAGGCTGGGCCGACTCTGACCTTCTATCCCTCCCGCCTCAGCCTGTCGAGCGGTGGTATTACAGGTGTGCATCACCACACCTGGTGATCTAATTTCGCTTCTGTCTCGTTGGCCACGTCAACATAACATGCTGCTTTCAATATTCAGGGACACAAGGACTTAATTTTTGAAGTCAAATGTGCTGAGATTTATGATATGCTACGTCTCAGTACATTCTGATGTAGATCTGTCACTTTTGACAAATCTACTCATCTCTTCCATCCAAGTCACACAGCGTTCCACACCGAGGGTGCGATCTGTGCCAAGCATTTTGCTCTCTTGAGTGGAACTCCTGCTCTTTTAACAGGCAACAGTCGGCACCCGCCACAGCGAGGTTCAGTGTTGAAACACTTAAGAAATGACTTAGAAAAGGAAGGACTGCAAAACAGTACCATACGCCAGAGAAGATGTTAGGTACGGCCAAGCGAGCATTAGAGGGAATGTGTGCAAGCTCCTCAGGCTTTCTGTGTCTACAGTCCAGAACATTCAAAAGAAAGGTATCGGCAAAGTCTGAGATGACTCTGTAGCCATCAGACTTAAACCAAGTAGGATAATGGGTGCGAACGCTCCCCAAGATCCGGAAAACTCTGCCCGTGTATTTAGAGCTTTTTGTCCTTTTTGTCACCTATCTTCTTAGCATTGTGTGATTGCAGAACACAATGGGCTCCATGATGGACTGTTCTTACAAACACAGCATGCATGTTGGTCACATCTACCATCTCATTGCTCTACCTTAGCCCTTTGACCCCATCCTGCAGGCTCCCATCCCTTTCCCATAGAGAAGCTGCTCTATGCCCTCCCTCTTCATGTCTTTTTGAGGCATCTAGATTCTGAATAAAAGATAAAGATGGGTACTGGTTTTTCTGAGCCTGGCTTCATTCACTTAACATTGAGTGTTTTCATAGGGCAAGGATGAAGAGCAGACCTATCCTTAAAGACCCGAATAGCACAGTAATGAAATTCAATCCTACTTGTTAAATGCCCTGGATGCTAAATTTATTAACTATCTAAAACCAAGGCAATAGGCAGATCTCAGGGCAGGCAATTTTACACTTGCTACCTCTTAATTCTCTTTCCACCCATTTCTATTTCAGTTGGGTGAACCAAAAACAAGGGCATGAAATGTAAAATTTCTTGAAAACCTCATTCCGTGTGAACATTCATGTCTAACAACTTCCATTATAAATTCCCACTTACATAACATTTAAAAACTACCCTATGACCTTATTCATTTTTAAATGAAATATACATTTTATTTAGAGATACGTCAATTTCTAAAGAATGCAATAATCCTGAGTTTTTGGAGTATTTACCTAGATAGTTTGTCACTTGTTCCGTAAGCTTGGAAAGAAAACATTCCTCAAATTGACCCCTTTGAAGAAAGAAAGTGAAGTGAGAGGCCCTCTTGAGGGCCTGGGGGTTCTCTGAAGAGCTGCAGCCCTCGGATGCAGCATCAGTCAGTATCCACAAACAGATAAGGAGGATGCATAGTTCTTACTTTGCCAGCCCTGAGTCCAGTATCTTAAATCATGCATCCTTCCAAAATGTCACTCTGCTTTGTAGATTTTCATTGTAATCCATGCCAATAAAAATCTCTCACGATAGAAAATAAATAGACCCAATAATCCAAACCTTCATTCCCTTTGGCTTCAATGCCTTTTCATATGAATCGATTATTCTTATTTTTATTAAGGTCTTTGTCACTTGTTCACAATGCAGGTTGGATTCAGTGCTGGCTTTGATGGTCCTGGGAGAGGCTGCTAAGTTGAACTTGGCCTGCTTGAAGACACTGATGGGCCTCGTGAAAGATTTCATTCTGAGTATCTTCTCTGTCGATAACCAGGTAACGCCTTGCAGTTGAGACGTGAAAAAGACCTGCATGGAGGCAGGCTTTGTTCTTCTCACCATGCAAATTACACATTGCATTTGAGCATGCCATGTGTACACATCTGTAGTAATTCTAGTTAATTATAAAAGTGAATATTCACTTACCACAAAATCACGATTTATCATAAACATTTCATTATCATGTCTGTTACACCTTGCATCTTACACTTTCACTATCCAATCTGCTTGGATGCACCTATCCATCACTGGAAAACACAGGACCCATGACCCAGTTAGAATCAGAAAAACAATTAGCTTTATATGCTCGTTCACAACTATATCTCCTGATGCCCTTTCTTGTTCTCTTGTCTGCATGCTGTGCTGTAACCGTGTGTGCATTTGTTTACACAAAACATATATTATTGGCTAGATTCCAAACATGAGGGAGAAAGTGTACAATCCAGTGTGAAATTCTAAATGGCTTTTCGAACAATGTAATAGTTCATTAAGATGTATAGAGTTTGGGTCTGCTTTATTTTATTTGAATTTTTTTATTTTTATAATTGTAATTAGACCAGTTATAAAATAGAAACAAGCTTCTTTTACATGTCAATCTCAGTCCCCTCTCCCACCCCTCCTACCCTGCCCACCCCTATCCCAACCCCTTTCTGCTCCCCAGGGGGATGAGGCCGTCCATGGGGGGCAATCTTCAAAGTCTATCTTATCATTTGGAGCAGGGCCTAGGCCCTCCCAGTGTGTCTAGGCTGAGAGAGTTTCCCTCTATATGGACTGGGCTTCCGAAGTCCATTAATGTACTAGGAATAAATACTGATCCACTACCAGAGGCCCCATAGATTGCCCAGGTCTCCAAACTGACACCCTCATTCAGGGGGTCTGGATCAGTCCTATGCTGGTTTCCCAGCTATCAGTCTGGGGTCTCTGAGCCCCCCTTGTTCAGCTGTTTCTGTGAGTCTTGATCCCTTTGCTTATCACTCCTCCCTCTCTGCAACTGGATTCCAGGAATTCAGTTTAGTGTCTAGCTGTGGGTGTCTGCTTCTGCTTCCATCAGCTACTGGGTGAAGGCTCTAGGATGGCATATAAGGTGGTCATCAATCTCATTATCGGAGAAGGGCATTTAAGGCAGCCTCTCCACTATTGCTTAGATTGTTGGTTGGGGTCAAACTTGTAGATCTCTGGACATTTCCCTAGTGCCAGAATTTTCTTTAAATCTATAATGACTCCCTGTATTATGGTGTCTCTTTTCTTGCTCTCCTCTATTCTTTCCCTGGCTATATCTTCTTGATCTCCCATGTCCTCCTCTCCTCTCCTCCCCTCCCTTTCTCTTTCTTCTAGCTCCCTCTCCTCTCCCTCCATGGTCCCAATTAGTTCAGGAGATCTTGTCCCTTTCCCTTTCTCTGGGGGATCATGTATGTCTTTCTTAGGGTCCTACTTGTTTCTTAGCTTCTCTGGCAATGTGGATTGTAGGATGGTAATCCTTTGCTCTATGTCTAAAATCCATATATGAGTGAGTACATTCCGTGTTTGTCTTTTTGAGACTAAGTTACTTCACTCAGGATGGTTTCTTCTAGTTCCATCCATTTGCCTGAGAATTTCAAGATTCCATTGTTTTTTTTTTTCCCCCACTGAGTAGTACTCCATTGTGTAAATGTACCACATTTTCTCTATCCATTCTTCAGTTGAGGGACATCTAGGTTGCTTACAGGTTCTGGCTGTTACAAATAATGCTGCTGTGAACATAGTTGAACCGATGTCTTTGTTGTATGAATGTGCTTCTTTTGGGTATATGCCTAAGAGTGGAATTGCTGGATCTTGTGGTAGACTGATTCCCATTTTCCTGAGGAACTGCTATACTGATTTCAAAAGTGGCTGTACAAGCTGGCACTCCCACCAGCAATGGAGGAGTGTTCCCCTTTCTCCACATCCTCTCCAGCATAATCTATAATTGGTGTTTTTATTTTAGCCATTCTGACAGGAGTAAGATGGTATCTCAGAATTGTTTTGATTTGCATTTCCTAT